ATAATATGGTTTTTAAAAAGGTAAATTCGGTGGTTTTTTATATTTTAACCGTTATAATAAGCAAATTTAAAAAATAATAAAAAAAAAAATAAAAAAATAATATAATATTTTTTATTAAATATAAGATATTATATTAATGGTTTGAAAATTATTTATTAAAATAAAGCTATTAATTATAAAGTTTTATTTAATATAAAATTTAATAAATTAAAAAGGAAAAAAAAAGATCTTTTTTATAAATTATTTTAATAATATAACTAACGTATAAATAAAATAAATATAATAACTTATTTAATAGTTTATGTAAGTTATTATAATAATAATATTTATTAATATTATTTATTATATTTATTAATTAATATTATTTACTTTTATTAAATAATTTAAAAATTGGCCATTTTAATATTTTATTATATTTTTAATTTTAATATAATTTAAAATTTAAAATAAATATTAAATTAAAATATTATTTATTATTATATTATATAATTAATATTATTAAATATTTAAATAATTTTAAATTTATAAAAAACATTTAAAACTTTTTTTAAATTAATATTAAAAACTTTAATAATTAAATAATTAATATATTATATTTATATTTTTATTTTATATATAAATAACGTTAAATATTTAATAAATTTATTCCATTTATTAAAATTATAATAAAATATATTTTTAATTATTTATTTAATTATATTTAATAATAATTAAATAATATTAACTTTTTTTTTTCTTTTAATTATAATATATAATTTTTATTAACATCCCATTAATATTTTCGTAATAAATTAATTAAAAATAATTTTAATTTTTTTTATTTATTAATTTAATTAAACTTAATTTTTTTAATATAATTTTATAATAATTAACGTAAAGTTAATCATTTATTAATTTTTAAATCGATATATTTTAATAATATTATAATATAAATTATATTATGGTTTAAAAATATAATATATTAATAACTTATTTTTATTTTTCGAAATAATATTAACCGCACAAATATAATATAATATTTCTTATAATTTTATTTATAAATTTTTAAAAAAATAAATCTTTAAACTTAATATAATAAATTTATTTTTATTTATAATATAATTAAAAAAATTAAATAAAAAAAATATTAATTAAGTTTTAAATTTTAACCACTTTAATATATTATTATAAAAGTTAATAATAAATTTTTATTTTAAATTTTTAATAATATAAATAAAATATTAAACCATAATATTATTATAAAATTAAATATTAAAAATTTATTTATTATTTATAATATAAAATTAATTATTTATTTTATTTATTTTTTTAATATCAATAACCATTATAAGGTAATAATATTTAATTTAAAAAATTAATTTTAATTTTTTATTAATTTATAAAATCTTAAATATAAGGTTTAATTTTATAAAATTTTATTAAAACGGCCGCTCGCAAGCTTGCGGGCCGTTTTTACGTGCGCGCAAGCGCGCACGTGATATCTTTCCGAAGGCGCGTTCGCGTTCCGCGCGCGCGCGCAATTACCGCGTATTTTTTACGTAATTACCTTATCATTTACTTATCAATTACCTTATCAATTACCTTATCAATTAAAAAAATTTGAGCGTAATATTCCTTCGGAAAGATAATTATATAATAATTATAATAATAATTTATTTTAAATAATTTAATAAATAAACTTTTTAATAATAATTTTATATAAAATTATAAAAAAATTATTAATATTATAATATAATATATAAAATGGATTTATAATTTAATAATTATTAATTTTATTTAAATGTTTATAAAATAAAAGTTAAAAAATTAAACCGCATTATATAATAAATCGAATTAAAAATAATTAATAATAAATTAATAATTAATATAATTTTGTTATAAATTAAATTATAAATTAAATATATTTATATAATATTTTATTATTTTTAAAATTATATATTAAAAATATATTTAAAATTATTAAAAAATAAAAATATTAATATTATTAAATAATTTTATAAAATAATTAAAATAAAATCTTATTATTTTATTATTTTTAAACGTTTAAAATGGCTTAATATTCCGTACATTTTTATTAATATAAAACTTTTTAAAAAAAATTTAAAGTAATTTTTTAAGTTTTATATACCAATTTTTTTAATAATAAAATCCTTTAAAATTATAATATTATTTTATTAATTTTATTAAATTATTATTACCATATAAAAGTTTTATTAATTTTATTAAGTTAATATTACCGTATAAAAGTTTTATTAATTTTATTAAATTATTACTATTATATAAAAGCTTAGTAAAAAATTTATAAAATTTATTTATTAATTTACTAAACCCATTATTATAAACGTAATATTATAATAATATTAAATTTAAAAAAATAAAAAAAAGTAAATTAAATAAAAAATAATTAAAAATAAAAAAAATGGTAATAAATAATTAATTAAATTTTTATAAAAAATTATATTAATTTATTTAAAATGTTTTAATATGTTAATATTTTATAGTTTTATATATGTAATAATTTATTATTTATTTAAAATTTACCAATTTTTTATATATTAAAAAAATATAAAATAATATAATATATTTTATAATTTTTATTTTATTAAAGTTATATAAAATTTTTATTTATATAAATAACTTTTTTTAATAATTTTAATATATTTTTAATATTATTTTTTAATAATTTTAAATTATTTATTTATTAATATTAAAATAAAATAATTTTAATTAAATTAAAATTTTAATTATTAACGTTAAAATTTTAATTTTAAAAAGTATTAATAAAATATTTATTTATTTAATATTATATATTTTTTATAAAATTTAAATTTAAATTATTTTTAAATAATAATAAATTATAAATTTTAAATTTATTAAAATATTATTTAATATTAATATTATAATAAATTAGGAAATTTTTTATTTAAAATATTAAATTAAGGATTTTATAGGTATATTTATTAAAGAAAAGTATAATATATTTGTTAAACTTTTCCGGCGTAATATTTTTATTATTTTAAAATTAAATAAAAAAAGGTTTTAATTTTTTATTAAAAAAAAAGGTTTAAAATATTTAATTATGGCTTTTTTGTATTAATAATTATTATTTTAATTTTTTACAATTATATAAAATTATTTAAGATTTATTTTATAAATTAATATAAATAAATATAAATTTGTTAAAAAGTATATTTTATATAATATTTTAATTTTAATTATTAAAATGTAATTTTTATTTTAAAGTTATATAAATATATTTTAACCGTATATTATATAATTATTGTATAAATTTAATTTTATAATATAATATGGTAAATTTTTTATTAAAATATTTTAAAAACCAAGTAATAATTTTAATATTAATATATTATAATATATTGGTAAAAAAACGTAATTTTTTTTATAATATATTAAAATATTTATTAAAAAAATAATAAATATATAATTTAATTTATGTATAAAATTTAAAGGTTTTAAATTTAAATATATAAAGTAAATTTTTATAAAAAATATGTTTAAAAAAAGTAAAAAAAACATTTTAAAACTATATATTAAATAATTTAAAAAGATAATTAATATAAATTTTTATAATTTAATTTAAAAAATAATTTAATTTTTTTAATATTTTTTTATATTTTTATTTTATTATATAATGTAATATATAAATAATTATACATTAATTTTTGTTAAAACGTGGTTTAAAAAGTTTTTATGTTAAATTAAAAGTTTAATAAAAAATATATTAATTATTTTTAAAAATGGAATAAATGCGTTAAAATTATTAAACATTTATAAAATTTAAATAAATTTTAAAACGGTTATTTATTTTTTAAATTAAATTTAAATTAATTAAAAAATAAAATATATTAAATTAATATTTTATTATAAAAATAAAATTATAAATTAATTTTAATTAATGGTAAAAAAAATGTAATAAAATAAAATAAATATATAATTATAAAATTAAATATAAATAAAAATATTAATTTAATAAATAATATTTATTAAAATATATAAAAAATTAATGGTATAATTACAAAAATTAAAACAATATTATAAAATGGAATAATTTTACAAAGTTTAAAACGGTAATTTTAAAATGGGTTTTAAAAATTTAAATCCAGGCTTATTTATTTCAAAATCCAGCCAATCAAAGCCTTTAAAACCTAAAAACGTTTTATTTTACAAAATTATTCCGTGGGTGGAACCATTCTCCGAAACCCCTCCCCTCCGCTATGGTACCTACGCCACGGCTCCGCCATCTTTAATAACGCACAAAATTCTGAGAGGAGATGAGCCAGGCAGAATAGCGTCAAAATAACTGGCGCAGTCTATTAACAATTATGCTGGTAGGTGCACCACCTTTTTTGACGTTATTCTGCCAGGAAATTTCCCTGATTTTCTTCGGTATTCTCGGGAGTACTACCTACCTAGGTACATATATAAGGTCTAGGTACAGATAACAGATTTCCTTTCGAGGTTTCGAGGATTATCTCTACATACATTAGCCACTCATTTCCACCGATATATTCCGATAGACAAGGTCTAATCCTTCCTCTGAAGCCACACAACCTTCTCTTAGATTAAGGTACCAAATCATAATTTATTTTACTACAGGCGACACTAACTAGGAATTCGAGAATAGTCAACCGGATAAAATCTCTTCATTCTTTGCTTTTCGGATCTCTCTAGGCTCCGGGAATGAGTACGATACGATAATGTCCGCAACTCGCGTGGAATTCTTATATGATTTCGAGAAAAAGGGTTCATTCTCCGATTCCAGAGCCGGAGCCATGCTATAGCCTACCAGGCCAAGAATCGCGAGGCACGTATACTTAGCGAAAGACCATATGATGTCTGGCTTCCCTGCGGCCAGGGCTTGATATATCTACGAAGCACTTCTCATGGTATAGCTGCGGTCTTTGAGTCAGCAAGCGCTGCTGAAAAGTGGCGCAAGCAAACAATTCTGGGTTATACGTTAATAATTGAAGGCAAGGACCATGCCGTTTGTTTTGAACGTGATTGGAATCTAGGGAATTTAATGAAGGAAATTGATCTCAAGCAACAAAGTAATTTGCCGAAACATGTCCCGGCTCAGATGGCAATGCGGGGCAATATATTTGGCGTGGAACGCCAGAAAGTGAGCCGGGAATGAGATTCTCGAAGGAAGGCTACATAACGGTATAATAAAATACCTAAATATAATAGGAATCTCTGATACTATCTAGGGGAAGGAGTGCAGAGTATTATTCAATGTCAGAATAAAGCTTGAATCTTTGAGATTATCCAACTTCTGATATATTTCACAGACTTCGTGTTTTAGCATCATAATCATTTCTGGATACAAAATAGCAGTACGAAGTAGGTAGGTGAGGTACCTAATATAAGCAAGTATGGATATAACAATATGTAAGTACGTATCCGAATGCGGGCAATCCAAGATGGCGCGATCGCAACGAAGTTTTACTTTAGGCACTGTCCCAGAACAACTGTAAATACGCGATGTGTATTAAACCTAAGGAATCTCACCTAATCAACCCGTATCATGATTATTATAATCTTGGTTCTTATAGGCGGGCGGTGAACTCGAGCAGCGAAGAAGCTCGAGAATGGGTCAATCGCGGCTTGATCTGGAGCTACGCGTTCAATCATGAAGAGTCTGTCAAATGCTTCGAACACGCCATCGCTTGCGACAGCAACTGTGTCTTGGCTTATTGGGGTCTGGCCTACGTCTTGGGTCCGAATTATAATAAGCCTTGGGAATTCTTCGATGAAACCGAACTGGAAAATGTCATGCGACGTACCCACAGCGTGGTTGAGCAAGCCAGGGCCAGGTTGGACAAAGCACTGCCCGTTGAGAAAGCGCTCGTAGAGGCGCTGAAGTTTCGGTACCCACAAGAGCACACAGGTGATAAAGATTGGTCAATATGGAATCAAGGGTATGCCGATGCGATGGGAAGAGTTTACGGGGAGTTCCCTGATGACCTGGATATAGCTGCTTTATATGTAGATGCGTTGATGAACTTAACTCCATGGCAGCTCTGGGATCTCGCTACCGGAGAGCCAGCATCAGGAGCTCGCACATTAGAGGCTAAGGCTATTCTAGAGCGATCGATGGCTCAAGACGGTGGATCTAGACACCCGGGTCTGCTTCATCTCTATATACACCTTATGGAGATGTCTACGACCCCTGAAGCAGCGTTGGACGCGGCGAATGCGCTTCGGGATCTTGTTCCCGATGCTGGTCACCTCAACCATATGCCAACGCATATCGATATTCTAGTCGGCGATTACCAGAGCGCTATCGAATCAAATCAGAAGGCCATCGTCGCAGATGATGTCTTCTTTGCGAAAGAAGACCCCCTGAGATTCTATACGCTCTACCGAATGCACGACCTTCATTTCCGCATCTACGCCGGCATGTTCGCCGGCCAGCTCAAGGTCACCCTCGATACCGTTGCCCGTGTCGAACAGACTCTGCCGGAGGAACTCCTGCGCGTCGAGTCACCACCCATGGCAGATTGGTTAGAGGGTTTCCTCGCTATGCGTGTACACGCTCTTATTCGGTTTGGCCGGTGGCAGGAGATCATCGACCTACCATTTTACGAAGACGATAAACTCTACTGCACGACCAATGCATTCAACCATTACGCGAAAGGGGTAGCACTAGCTGCAACGGGCAAGATTGAAGAGGCGTCTAAGCAGCGCGAGCTTTTTGTCGAAGCTGCGAAGATGGTTCCGGAGTCCCGCATGGTGTTTAACAATAAATGTGTTGATATTATAAAGGTCGCAGAAGCCATGCTAGACGGCGAGTTGGAGTACAGAAGGGGTAACTATGACTCGGCCTATTCTCACCTACGTGTGGCAATCGAGCGAAGCTATTCCCTCCCTTACGACGAACCGTGGGGTTGGATGCAGCCGCCGAGTCATGCGTACGGAGCACTACTGGTCGAACAAGGCCATTTCGACAAAGCCGTCGAGGTTTACGCCGAGGATCTCGGGATCGGCGGCAAGCTTCCGCGCGCATTGCAACACCCGAAAAACGTTTGGTCATTACATGGCTATCACGAATGTCTAGGAAAGCTAGGGCGCATCGATGAGGCCAGGGCTATAAAACCACAGTTAGATGCGGCAATAGCTGGTGCCGATGTACCTATTAAAGCATCTTGCTTCTGTCGTACCAGCGTGTTTTAAGTATTTAAACGGCGTGTTTATGGTTTATGGATGAGAATGACAGTTAATTGATTTGAGGATATCTAGTTAACACTCGCTACCCTAACTCATGACTCCTATCCCGGTGGGTCCTCAGCTGCCCCCTTTTCCTAGCTTCTTCAGTCTTCCTACTTCACCGTAGAGCCAGCCCTCTAAACACCAATCGCCTTCGCAAGCGCTTCACCGACCCCCGCGGAGCTGGCAGGGTTCTGTCCGGTGATAAGCTTCCCGCCGTCCTCAACTACCACGAATGGGTCGTACACCTTCTCTGTTGTCTTGTACTCGGCACCGACCTCCTTCATCTTGTCCTCGAGTGAGAAGGGCAAGTGCTCGAGCAGGCCGATACCTCCCTCCTCGGCATTGCTAAAGCCCGTGGCCTTCTTGCCAGCGAGAAGAGGCTTGCCGTCAGGTAGCGTGACGCCCGTGAATACGACAGGTCCATGGCACACTGCAGCAACAGGCTTGCCCGCCGCAACAAACTCCTTGATCAGCGCGATGGATTCGCTGTCGGTTGCCAAGTCGTACATGGGCCCGTACCCGCCCGGGTAAAACAATGCGTCGAACTCTCCTGAGCGCCCAAGGAACGAGGAGAGTTTCGCTGTCTGTTCCCACAGCGCGGACTTGGTCTTGAGGAAGGAGATCGAGGACGCATCTGATTTGGATTGCTCTACTGATGCTGGGTCTAACGGTGCGACGCCCCCTTTAGGTGACGCGGTTACGATCTCAACGCCTTTCCCGGAGAGAACTTCGTACGGGTGGGCGAACTCGGGCTATTGGAGAAGTTAGTTCAGGTACTAGTTGGCATTAGAGATGTAGGTTAGGCACTTACAAGATACCAGCCGGACTCCCTCTTAGCGCTATCGATGTAGCCGAAGGAAGTTAAAACGACAAGAACTTTAGGCGCCATTGTGTCTTTTTTGGTGATGTTGTTGATAATTGTTGATAATTGTTTGATGAAGTGAGTATCAGGGTTGTAAGTCAAGTATCAGAGTTGTAAGTCAAGTAATGATGTGCAATCTATCGTACTATTGTAGATTAATGTGTGAGTTGATGCAGGATATTTTCTGTCCATATTGTCGCCTAAACCTCCTGCTTTTATATCAAGATGAATACTATCATATTACACCCTTTCGCTACCTTTACCACGATCTACAAGGTATCCTGTATGATGTAACTGACGAAATGTATCGAATGTGTAAGTAAGCCCCGCCCGTCGTATACGATTCTCGGCCAATGTGGAGCTAATACTACACTAATAACTTGACGTCAACGTAAGCTCCGGCGACTCCATCAAGGATAGTTGTGGCACAGCCAAACTAGTCTTGAAAACGGCAGGAAATTGTACCGACTTGGACCGGCCGTTAGATCTCGGCCCATAGGTAGCACAGACATGTCTGAATTTCATGTAAGCAGCTCCGAATTAACGAAGCCCAAATAACCTAATCGCCGTAGGGGTTAAGATGGCTACTCCCAGTCGGCTTTTAGCTTGACTCCTATTGGCGATCTACGCACTTGGGAGTTGTGGCGTAGAAATAACTGATATTGCTATTCAGGATATATTTAGGAGATGCTGAATAATTCTATACGGCATACAATCTTCAAATTAAAAAATCTCTGATTTCCGAAAGACGGAAGGTTTCGAAATTTCGGAGAGACAGGAGTTGGAATAGACGATTTGTCATCTCTATCAATCTAGGCACTTTGAAATGCCTGCATTCCTTCGGATATCAGTAACTTAATAGTAAACCGTCGATATGATTTTCGAGGCATAGCAAATCATCATCCGCCAACACTAACTTCGCATCTTTGCGCTATTAGTAACTAGTGAAGATACCATACATGTTACTATATATGTAGGATATAGGTCCTTATTAAGTTATCAATTATGTACTGGATAGTGAAATCGCTAAATCAGATATTATGGTATTATCCTCTTAAATATGTCGCTCACTTATATTATGCATGAATTCAAAGCCCGTATTCAGGGGCTCGCAAAGAGGTATGTATTCGACCTCATGACCTTTTCTTCTCAACAACGCTCTTCCATTTCGTCCTTACTACCCTTAGCAAGAGCCACGCCACAAGACGGTACACGACGATTGTGGCTGCTAATGCGCCAATGTTGACTACAGGATCGACATTGAGCTTGTACAGATCCAGAACCTGCTCGCCCGTCTCGATGGTGCACCGGCCGTCGGGCAGCCTCTGGGCGTCGTCACATGTGAACTTGACGCCCCGCAGAGTAAATGGCGACAGGGCTGCCGTCGCATACTTGAGCGGGCTGATATAGTTGAAGATCTTGAATAGCTCTGGCATATTGATCGACATGAGGCCCGCCATGATCTGAGCAACGGAAAGCAGGATTGAGATGAGGTTGACGGCGAAGCCAGTGTGGTTGAATAATGTATTAAACATGATACCCAGACTCTCACCGCACGACACGACTCCAAAGCCGCAGAACACGTACACGAAGTACATCTCAACGGTGCGGGGGAAACCAACCGCAAAGTCGGCCAGGATACCGAAGAGCAGACAGGACGCAATTTCGAAAGGCAATTCGAGGAGGGTATATGTCGACAAGAATGCCTCGACACTATACACGGCGTCGTCGTCTTCGCGGTAAAATACCTCTCGCTCGGCCGGATACACCGCGACGTTCTGAAGCATGCCGACGAAGTAGAAGGCACCTATTTCTTGGATGAAACCCACGCGGTTTTGGATGCTGTAGTAGTCGTTGTGTACCGGTGCGAAGAACAGGGCTAGGATGATAGCTAAACCGAGAACTTGCATCGTACGTGCTAGGAGGAGGGGCGGTTGTCGCCGAAGATTGATGGTTGCGCGGTGTAATAGGAGTGGGAATGCTGTTATAAAGGTTGCACGTTTATGGACAAGTGCCCCTAACTCGGCTGGCGTTGCTAAAGCATTTTTATGGTACGAGCGACGGGGTGCTGGGTTGGAGAGACGCCTTTCAAGTGTTCCGTCTGAATCGGTTGTAATTTCTTGGACTGCTTCACCTCCCTCCCCTGAAGGAACTGTTTCTTCTGCCTTTGTGTTTTCAGAAGCGGTCGTTCCTTTTTCATTCCCTGACTCTTCCGCCTCTTTTATATTTGAAAGACGGGGATTGGTTTGTAACGCCGATGGAGATTCCCCCTTCATGACATTATCCCACGACTCGATAAGCCTTCTGACCTTTTCTCGACTTTTCGCCTCTCTATTCGCTTCCTGTAGATCTATGGTGATGAGATCGAGTGCGAAATCAGCCGGGTTTGTATGCTGAGGGCATTGAAACCCAAGTTTGCTAAAATAAGGCAGCATGTCCCTTGCGGCACCAGCATAAGCGGGTGAACCTCCCCTAGCTAGCAAGAGTACGTTCCCGAAATGGTTGAAGATGTCAGATCTAGCTTGGTGGATGGTAAGGATAAGTGTGCGTCCCTCTCTAGCCAACCCCTGGAGCACTTCCAAGATACTGCTTGCCGTGAATGCATCCAATCCACTCGTCGGCTCGTCTAGTAATAGTACTCGAGGATCGGTAAGGATTTGTACAGCTATACTAACTCGTCGCTTCTCTCCTCCGGAGATACCCTTTACCAGCTCGTTACCAACTAAATTGTCGGCACAGTCCTTCAGACCCATCTTCACCAGAACTTCTTCAGCTCGCTGGTATTTCTCCGATTTGCTCATCCACGTGGGAAGGCGAAGACCAGCTGCGAAGCGTAGAGTTTCACGCACTGTGAGAGACGGAAGCAATGCATCGTCGTCTTGGCAGACGTACGACACGACAGATCGTATGACCGAATCCGATGGAACAGCGTCGTTGAAGGACAGTTTCCCTGATGGCCGATACCTAGTGCTGATTGTACTGTGTAAGCGTAGGGCCATAGCATTAAGTAAACTTGTCTTTCCCGAACCAGACGGTCCCATTATTACATTAAGTGTGCCGGCTTGAAATGTTGCCGTGACGGGGTTAAGAATTATCTTAGTTGGCAGCTTTTTCCCGGTTAAGGATCGCTTATCCAGTGCTAAGGAGAATTCGTCAAGGCCAACATCTATAGCCCGCACTTCATGAATTGATCTTGCCGTCATCTTCTCTTTTCCGGCCGAAAGATCTGTGTCGGATGCTCGAGCGCGTGCAATTGTCATCTCTACTTTTAGAAAAGCTAACCCAACCCAGGATGTAACGAAGAAGAGAATGGCGAAGGCAACTAGAATGATGATTGGTCGTGCTACCCAGTTTCGAGGAAATCCAAGGTTGTCCATGATGTACCGTCCAGCGTATTGGTTACAGGCTGGATTTGACTCACCGCCTGGTAAGGGGCAATCATAGAAGCTACCCTCGAACTCGTTGCCACATAGAGCCCCAAACGCATAATACTATTAAAATATTAGCAAATTTTCGCTTAAAGCACATGTGAGGTATGGCCGACTTACAGTATATGTGATATACTTGGTCCATCTTACGTAGACCGGGATCGTATTGCTCTGTATGAAGTAACCACAAGCCATGCTTTGTAGCGTATACGTAAGGTTGGCGATCAAACTAGCTCCGGGGAAATGCCTGACCGCGGCGACAGACGACATGGCCAACGTGACAGCAATGTAGTGATTAAGAAGGATGATGGAAAAGAACGTAAAGAACTTCGATACGTCGGAGTCGAAGCCCACCATAAAGTAAAATATAACGCTGTACAAAAACGGAACGGGTATATCTTCGGTAAACAAACGCGCTAATCGACGGGACAATATGAAAGGAAGGGCGGTTACACAACCCTCGCTATTCTCGCGGTCGAACGTTGGGATATCTAATGTTAAACGGAAAATCTCAAATGTTAAGAATAGGTAACCTTGTAGACCTACCGAGATATATAGTGCAGCCTGTCTTGATCGAATGCCAGGTTGATCCCGGGAAAGGTTGTAGAAGATATACCCCGTGATGATAGCCATAAGGATTGCTTCCAGTATAGAACCAGCCATCCCCATCGGGTCTCTGTAAGTAACTTTCAGATTCCTGTCAGTCAAAACTCGCAGCTGACGAAAGAAATTTGCGTGTTGCCCTATTATCGGCCGCTTTGGTTTATCCTCCGTCTCGGCGGCCTCTTTAGATGTAGATGTCGCGAAAATCCTCAGCGATTCTTCGTTCCAAGCTGCCTTTAGACGCTCAACTCTGGCAGTACTCTCCTCCTCGAGCTCCGGAGAGCGGTTGTCGACGGCAGCTTGGTCGATTATGAATTCGGCGGGGTTAACGAAAGCAGGGAGTTGGAATCCAAGATTTGAAAACCACGGGATACACTCCTTCATGGTGCCTGAATAGACGGGGCTTCCCCTGGACAAGATTACGAGGTTATCAAATAGATCCCATATTTCGGAACGTGGTTGATGGATAGTTGTGATAATAGTCCGCCCCTTGTTTGCCAGAGCCTTGAGAGTCCTGACCAGTTGATAAGCGCTCGTCGCATCTAATCCAGTAGTTGGCTCGTCCAAAAAAAGAATCGATGGGTTTGCCAGGAGTTGTACGCCGATGCTCACTCTTCGCTTTTCTCCACCACTACACCCGCGATGTTGACTATTTCCGATTCTGGTATTTGCACAATCCTTTAGACCTAATTCGAGGATGACTTCCTCCACAATACGCATGCGCTCTTCTTTCGTAGTCGGTGGAGGCAACCTCAAATCCGCCGAATACTGTAGCGTTTCTCGTACCGTCAAAGTGGGAAGCAATATGTCCTGTTGCATTACATATGCGTGTCTCACAGAATGCACCCCTTCCTGTCCATTGAACGTGGCGGTCCCATTCTGCGAGAGTCGAGAGCTGAACATGCGTTCCGCGACCGTATTTAACAAAGTCGTTTTTCCAGAACCACTACCTCCGAGAATCGCGGTCAAGGTTCCAGATTTCAAGGAAGCATTAACTGAACTAAGGAGAGTTTTGGTCTTTGGGCCATTATGGCCTTTCCCAAACGTTTTCAACAAATCAGGATAAGTCGCAGGATCCCATATCGAAGGCGACGTATCGACAGTGACCGACAGGTTCCTTATTTGAACTTCGACGGCCTCGACATCATCTAACGACAAGTGGCCGACTGCTGGGACCGATATTCGCCGGCCTAGGTCCGGTCGGCTTATATCCATTGACGTCGAAACGGAGCTTAGAGGCTCGTTTGTGTCGATATGGATAGTAACAGGTTTCTCGCCATTTCGTTCGTCGTGACTTGGAGCGGCGATGTCTGAGTTTGAGGACGTCATAGCTGGAACGTCCGTAGTGATTCCGATCGCTATCAGCCAAGTGATAGATACGAAAGGCCTATGTAAAATAAGAAAGCCCGAGCAAAGCTCGAACGGTTATGATGGCATTCCCGGAACCAAACAAGTTGTTTCTTCTATAAATTAATGCATATATGTGTGTTATTCGATCTTGCTAAACAAATGAGGCTCGCAAAAAGACGGAAAGACTTAACATAGAAAACATCAAAATGCAAAATCTCTCGAGATCGCAAAGACCTGGTCGCCCCCCAAAAGGCCTACCGAGATAGTGTACCAGACATAGTAATGCAAGATGCAACATCAAGCTGACTAGGATTAATCCCACGCGAGCCCAGCGAACCACGTTATCCTTGCTACGGCCCTTAATTGGAACCATGGACCATGGACGGCTGCAATCTGCAACCGACTGCGACCAAGCCATAGAACAATGTACCCTTCTAGCCTTCTAGCGGGCTCTAGACCTTAGCGGTTCCGTAGTATCGTTAACACCCTCGTCCCGAATATTTCGGTTCGTAGCCGAGTCGGAACACGATTATTGGAAATTGATCAAATATATCGCTAAGAACCCAACCGATCCAATACGTAATTAATACTATTAGAAACCCATCTGCCTATGCCCGTCCCGTCATGGTGAGCAAACTTGGCGTAATGATAATACATCATCTCCGAATCCATAGGAGGTACCTAACATACATACAGACCTACATACATACCATTGCCGTTCACCCCACATCTTCCGATTGTCGATTTCCTACTTGTACTTTTACGATGGCTTGGCAAAATCTACCGACTTTTCCTACATATGCTACATATTCTCCATGTATCTCGTCGTATATACCATATACCACAAATATCTATGTAAGTCAAGTAGCATGGCGACCCTTGCCCTACGCCACGTGTTTCGGAAAGGAGAATATGAATACAATATAAGGCAGCCCCCCGGCATGAACTCAGTATGTAGTGTATGACATAACTTGGAAGGTAAGACATTTGATGCTCTAAGCGAAGGTGGCTTTGAGTGGGACATAGCATTTCCCTGCTGGGATTTGGAGAACTACGTCTAGGAAACATTAAGCAATGCTACCTGCTGCTGATTCAGTTCAGCCCAATCCGAGTGCCTGGTTGGGTCCTATGTCACTACCTATGTACCTAAGGTAGTCTTACATCACGTCTCGGTTAGAAATAGCTGACAGCGGGCCAGTCCCGGCGACGGAGACAATTCGTTAAGCGAACTTAAATTGGACTGTTTCCATACGGGCGGTATCTACATGCATATAAGGTATAGGTAGTTATACAAAATACAAAATACATACTGCATACCTTATATACGTATAATGAAAGTTGAGAATACCACAAGATTTACGACTCAAAGACAAGTTTACACGGCATATCACCACGATTATCAAATGATAAAGATCAAGAAGATCTATGTGGCGCATGCATGGAAACAGGCCGAATTCAGCAAGGTTGTGTTCGGAAACGAAGCGTTCCGCCTCGCTTGCCTGTCCAGGATTACATTTTCGGTCTAGAGTCTAGACCAACACGCTTCCAAGGTTCCACAAAGCTAACCTGACGGTTTGCATTGCTCGCATCGGTGGCGCTCTTAACCAAGGGATGCACATGGCCGCCACTTCATCGGGGGGTTTTCATATGTATGTATATCGATATGTGACAGATGAGCGCACGGGTCTTACAGTAAGAATAGACGAGCCTAACCATATTGGCAATTTTACATGGAGACATGGAGCCCGATTTGAAGAATTGATGAAGATTAAAAAAAAGAAGAATCTAAAACATCGCGTACACAGCATAAAGCGCCTTGGAATTTCCCCATAACGAACAGGACAGCGGGAAATGAGTTACGGAGTATTACTTGGCGATCTCGGCTCCAGTCCTATGTATTTGCAGCTAATCAATTACATACACAAAGGCTATCCGCAATTATGGCGAAGCGATGATTATCTAGGCCCTGGCTACATGTAGTGAATTAAATAAAGAATACCTAGCATGTAAAATGTGGAGTTTGGCAATAATATCCCGCGATAAAAATAAACCAGCTTAAGCGAGATATTACATTGCCTCGGTTAGATTCAAGAAACATTATCTTAGGTATGTTTTAGTCAAGAGCCAAGCTTTACCTTTTCCTTGGGGAACTGGGTGAGATTAATCACAGTCCCCATTAGATAGATGATTATGCGACTGTGAATTTCCCAATAACATGAGATGTAGTTTTTAAAACATACAGCTAGATAGAGGTGGCTGCTACGTAATATGACTTTGAATGTACCTGATGTAAAATATCATTAACAATGCGACAATAGGTTGCTTTCCTACGCCACTTACATCAACAAACTCAGGCCCGATGGGTTATGCTTAACCGCAGTCATGTATGATGGGGAAACATAACTCAGCATTTCATTCCACAAACTATCTAGATCGGTTTGAAGAAAGAATAACTACCTAAAATAATTAGTTATCTTATAAACCAGAATTATTAAAAATTGACTTTCTAAGGACAGGCCCCTTTAACTGCTTTGTGCCTCTATTGAACGAAGCGCACCAGCTGATGAGGTGCGGCACGGTTGAACAAGCCATTGGACAAAGGCGTCAGGGTTCTCCGCGTCAGACGCATTCCTCGCCGATGATGCGTCGGCACCTAACCTTCAAAGCACGTCAATTGGCGTGATGTGTGACACCTAGGTACATAGCACCAAATCAATGATTAATCAAGAACATACTTGCAAATACCTAACATCTAATAGTCTAGGTACCTACCTATACTATCTACCTAAGGTACCTAATAAGTAATAACCTCTTCATAACTCCTAAACTCCATCTAATCTCTCTCGCGGGCCATGCAATATCATCAAGTCATCATACTATCAATAATCATCGCGGCTCAGCCTGTTAAGGGTTAAGGATCAGTTTCCTCCTTCCCCATCGCCTCATAGCTGAGCTCATTAACACCGGCCTCGGTCCCCGCACAGCTCTTAAGCAAACCTCTTCTCGACAATAGCTGTACCAACCGGCTTCCCGGTCACGAACCCACCATTGATGCCTCCGTGTTCGAAGACTTTCTTGCCCCTCAGCCACGTCTCTTTGACACGACCCGCGAACCGGCGGCCCTCCCATGGCGAGCAGCGGTTCTTCCAATGCATGCCGGCAGAGTGTAGTGTCCACTCCTCGGTATCATCGAATACGCAAATATCAGCGTCCATGCCGACCTTGAGCGCCCCCTTGCGATGAGATAGTCCGACCTGCTTAGCCGTCGCGGCGCAACATAAGCGCACGATGTCGGTGATACTCGGAGCTGCCTTGCTTCCAGCTGCCGCTCGCTCCTTAGCCGACGTGTAAAGGATGGGCAAGCCGAGTCCGACCGACGAGATGCCACCCCATGCGGCGAAGAAGTCACCAACGCCTTTTGCAACCTGCGTCCCGATCTTTGTTTGCTCCCCATCGTCATAAGCTAGGTCAGCCGTCATATCAATACCCGAATCGGAATGGTGCATATGCGAGGCTTCGATTGTTTGGAGGTGAGGTGGGAGGAGCTTGAGCTCGGGGGTACAGGGCGAATGGTCGGAGACGATGGTTTTAATGCACGAATCCGGTGCTGCGAGCTCTTCCCAAAGACCGTCTTGGTTTAGCTGCTCACGAATTGGTGGGCAGCATTTGTATCTGCAATCACCATCCTCGACACTCTCAGCCGCCAACCCTAGATAATGGAAACATGTCTCAGCCGTAATGTCGATTCCAGACTTGCGGGCGGCCTTCAGGATCGGGATCGCTTGCGTCGCAGACAGGTGTACGATATGTAGGTGCAGACCTGGAGCCAGATGCGCGAGGGAGAGAATCTCATCGATTGCATAAGTTTCGAAGGATGGAGGTCGCGACTCGAGAAACGTATTGTACGATTGTAAGTCGCCGTGTGGTGCTAAGGGGGGTTCGGAGGCTTGTACTGCATCACCAACCGAATCGGAAATCGGAGGGATCATCTCGGCATGGAACATGAGCGTCGTCGGTGTGCCATTTAGTGTTTTCATTGCAAGTGCAATGTCATTGGAAGAGATGGCAGGGAACTCTTCGACCTATTTACTCTTGTTAGCGAACTATCTAAATACGATTGGCTTGCTGTAAGCGCAAACTTACACCCGACTCGATTAGGAAGCCTTTAAACCCGCGAACACCGGCCTCTACTAGGGGAAGAAGCTCATCCGCATTTCCGGGGATAACACCCCCGTAGAACCCCACATCAACCCAACATTGGCCCTGGCTAGCAATGAGCTTCTCCTTGAACCCCGCCAAAGTTGTGGTCGGTGGGATAGCATTGAGCGGCATGTCGATAACGGTAGTCACGCCGCCAGAAGCTGCCGCCCTAGTACCGGTGTTGAACCCTTCCCATTCCGTTCGGCCTGGCTCGTTAAGGTGCACATGAGCATCTACAAGTCCAGGGATCAAGAGTTTGGCGCCATAGTTGATGTATGTCGTTGACGGAGCAAACGACGTCTTGGGCAGGATAGTAGGTATAATAGCCACGATCTTTCCGGTAGCCGGCGAGATAGATATAGTAGCCGGGGTGAGTAGGAGGCTATCGTCTGGTAAAGTGATTACCGCCCTCGTTGACACGAGGACGGTCAACGGTCCGGCATTCGTTCTAGAAGTGACTGTCATTATGTAAGGTCGACCTGTGGAGTTTTTATTCTTTTTTTGATGCTAACAGACGAAGTGGTAGATTGGCAGACGAAGATAAGGATAGACGATAGACTAGTAACGAGGACAAAGCAGATATCTTCTTATCACAGTGTCTTTGACTGCAGGTTGGTGGACGAATGATAAGAGAAAGAAGACGAGATAAGGAGAAAAGTATACTACGCAACAAATGATTGAGGGAGTGTATCACAAGTCAGCAGTGACATGCAGCAGTATGTACGGTGCTGGTGATGACTGGAACGAAAGTGAATGATAGCCCAGAAAGGACAAGACCTACTGACGGGAGGTGTACTACGTGGGGATATATGACGAGAAGATATGAGCAAGCCGAGAAAAGCGAAGGAAGAATGGCAAGTGGGTTAATGGATACGATCGAGTCAGAGAAGTTACATTCAACCTACGGCGTTTCGGGTTTTACTTAGAACTAGGCCAGTAGGTCAGCAGCGATACCGCTACGACAAATTTCAAGTTCGGCTGGCTCTAGTACGATCGTGTGAGCGGTGAATCCGTTGGTGTAAGCTGTGGGCTACGGTGGGTTTATAGGCTTAGCCTCGGTAAAGGGGTAAGATATCTCGAGGCTGCTAGAGAAAACATAGGAAATAGTCGGACTGGCCTGCAGCAGGCCCTGATTCAGGAGGGCGTAACCGCCTAAGAAGATAAGTCAAGAACATGACGGAAATAGCAATTGAGATAAGAGAAAGACGGGAAGTGGTTTAAAGTGGGTGTGGGTGACGATAAGTAAGAGGGTAGGTAGGTACATTGAGTAAGACGAGAGCAGGAAAGAAAAGAAGAAGGAAAAAAAAACATTTGACGGGACTCCCGAATTGGACAATGGTTGTTATCGGCAAGTTCTGATTGGTCCAAGACTTCTTTAACCCAGGAAAGGTTATGACTTGCATTAGTCTGATGTCCACTCTGTCTGTAAGGGGATTTATGTAACTTATTTTAGCCAATACCTGCCCACGCTGCCATGTTTAATGTTAGGTAGTCTAGGTAATCAGATCGATATCGGACCTGACCGGGTTCTGCCTGTGGGATACGATACGTGACACATCATCTACAAATTTCAACTCAATTCAACTCAAGGGTCTATGGTAAAAAAATAAAATAAAATGAAATAAAAACCGGCAAATTTCGAATATCGATTTCCTCTCACAAGGATCAGTACTGGTAATATAGATACCTCATATGCACGCCCAAACAATTATTCCATCCACAGATCTCTTGTCTTGACGTCCGTGTTACGTCGATGCGCCCCGGCGGAACGGACGGTGTGGACCGTACTAAAGTTACCTAACCATAAGTTTCTATCGAGCAATCATTTCGCGATAAATTCGAGTAAACTTTCGAGTTCGAGCCGTCACCCAAGTGGTCAGTCATCCACGAATGGCTTCATTTCAGCACCGCATCTGGCAATCCCCCGCGGCCGCCATCGCCATCGCTATCGCCCGGTTTCGAATATTTATCAAGTAATTTTATAGTAATATAATTTCGGTAGTTTTCGGCCACGAAGGTCTCGACTTTCGACTTTCGACGTTCGACTTTCGTCTCCCATCAGGGGCGGTATAATGCTGACGGTCACGTATCAATATCAACTCACCAACTCACCTACTCCACTTCCCAAGGTATTAACAGCAATAGCCTTCTCGGTGACTACCGCTGTCGTGGACCAATCCAGATAAACACCGCCGCTTTAGTCTTTATGAGTGCCTAAACTTAGGCCAAATTTCGTTGCTCCCGTCCGCTAACCGCGAGGCTACTCCGCGCCGGGCCCGAACTACCGGAATCATGACTTTTGCAGTCGAGCATGTTCGCATATTCCAGTTCCGATTTACTCGCCTTTATTGATTTTCCGATGTAGAAGGCCTCTTTTCGATTGTCCTCCACTAATTCGGAAAGTCCCATTGGTCTATTCTCGCTAGTTACGCTACCCAAAACTACGTCTTCTCGATAGGGTCTTCGCAACCCTTGGCTTGCTTGCGAAATATTGAGGAGTCGTTTAATAAATAGATCTACTCAATATGGATATCCGTTGCTTAAACCTCTAAGGTCTGATAATTACAGGTAATTGATTATTTAACAACGCAACTATCGGAAACCACTTGCAGGTAGTATCACACGTAAAGAAAACATCCTGGCAATACATGTATTATTAGTATTCACTGCGCTATATCAAATCATTTCTTCATTTGCGATACTAATTTTCCATAGTTATTAAATAATTAACCAACGTACCCATTATATATTACTTCACAAGTTACCAACTCATATTCTTGATTCGCTAAGACCAGTTATAAGAATTCAACTGATTATCATAAGTTAGGAACTTCATGTCACAAAGTAAATATTATATCATAACTCCTTTAAGAGTGATCATTCCCAGGCAGAGAGATACTAATAAAGAAGCAGCTAAACCCTCAATGTCTACTAGGCTACCACCAAGGTTCCAATAACAGAGATGGCAGTACTACTCATGTCGGTAACGGCAACAATAGCTTAGCCTAGAATTGTTTTAATATACATTCTCGCGGATCAGTTACTACCAATGAAATAATGCCACAATCGGTTCTTTCGGTCAACTTCTTTAACCGAAATATCTAAAGCTCTAAGAAGTTTTCCCTAAGAGATTAGGTCATAACAATCACGAGCCCTTCTGCTCAAATAGCGTCTCAGAATTCAACTACCGTTTCAAAGAGCAGTTCTCCTTGGAAGGGCCGGCGAGGTAATCTATAATTATAAAAACTTGTCAAGGCTACTTTACAGTTGCTTACAATTTGGCTCCGTTTTTTTATACAGACAAATGATATGTAGGTCCGACAGCCTCCGGTGTTTATATCTAATTATAGGTCCCTACCTGGCGCCACAAAATTTATAGTCATCAATCTCTATTATTTATAGGCTAGGTAGTGCAGTGTAATAAGTTAGGATTCATATTAACTAAACAAACAGGCTTACCCCCTGGCGGAACTTGAGAGGCCATCTTGATTACCAATCTTCTCAACACCCTACCAAATATTACCACTCAGTCAAAGAAAGCATACTGCACAATGGCTCAAACACCCAGGACTTGGCTAATTACCGGCTGCTCCAGCGGTTTCGGTGCTCTATTCGTGCGCCAACTCTGCGAGCAGGGAGACAATGTCATTGCCACTGGTCGCGATGCCGAAAAAAGACTTGCTCACCTCAAAGATACTGGAGCGACAATCTTGGACCTCGACGTGACAGCGCCACCGGACGTTATTGCGGCTAAGATGGCTGATGCCTGGAATTTGTATCCATCCGGTATTGACGTAGTCGTGAATAATGCCGGCTATGTTCTAAGTGGTGCCATCGAAGAATTGACGTGGGTATAGATGCTAATTAGTACAATTAATTAATTGCATATTGCGACCCGCTGACAGAAAGTAGACAGGAAGATATGGAAGATGTCTTCAAGACTAATTTCCACGGTCCACTGAACATTACTCGCGCACTTCTGCCTCGAATGCGGGCCAGAGGAACAGGCACGCTGCTATACATAAGCTCACAAGCAGCGTGGCATGCCGATCCCAGCGCTGCTGGGTATTGCTCATCCAAATTCGCCCTTGGAGGTGCGATCGAGTGTCTCGCTAAAGAACTTGCCATTTTTGCCCCAGGATTGAAGTTATTGATCGTCGAGCCTGGTTACTTCCGCACGAGTGCCTTCAAGAACATAAGGAACGTAGACCCGCGCCAGCAAGACTACGCCGGCTTCAATGCTACCGTGCGAGCCGCTGAAGCTGGCATAGTCGGCAACGAGCCGGGAGATCCTTCCAAGGCAGTTTCGATCATGATTGATTTGGTAAAAGGGACTGGCGTGGCGGCTGGAAAGACTGTACCACTTCGAGTTCCTTTAGGAACGGATGGTTGGGAAAGGATTAGGGCTAAATGTGAGGATATGTTGAAGGTCTGTGATGAATGGGAGGAAGTGGCTAAGAGTACGGATTTGAAATAGTCGGTGTCGCATCTATATAGTTTGCTGAAGGGTCGGGGGCAGTTTAACGGCTAAATCGAGTATTAAGTCGCCTTATTTCTCACATTGATTACGCTATGAGACTGTATGTAGGCCACTTAGGTAAAGACCCTAGATATAATTAGAAATGTCGAAGGTGAAGGGTAGAGAGATCATAACCTGGCAGGCTATAAAACGAGGTCCCATGTCGTTAGGGGTTTCATATTAAGAACTCGAATATAACTGGTAAGTTATGTAATGAACATATGCTTAAAGAGTTATATCGAGAAAACATAATTAAGTTCTAGAATCGCAAGCAACTTTCGATTCTAGTCTCCAAGTCGGTGTACCCCTATTCCTCGTCACATAGCTTGTGCATTATCGGCGTCGTAAATCATACCTAGTCGAAACGTAATGGGTGATAAGAGCCAATGAAGGCATCGAAGCAGTAAGTGAATTAAATATTTACAGGTCTATTTTGAATAATAACCTCGTAAATATTTATTGTAAGTTGCTGACAAGTAGATTAAGAAATGATTTGATACCCATTCCTCCTTTTGAGTCTCTCTTCCATCTCACGAAGATCATAACGTTCGCGACGGGTTTTACCATCTCTCTACTCATTTTCCATCACCGTAGTAGTAAGGGGTCCTCTCCTAAATGTAATCAAACAAGACCACCGCGAGCTTGAAGCATACTACCCTCATATTTTCGATAACAAGAGCACAGATGAACGGCTAAGTACCGGAACCCTTTCGTGTGGGAGTTGGCACGGCACCCTGTAGCAGAGGAGATAATTATTTATCTGGCGATAGAAAAAAAACTTAAATAATGGGCGAGATATAGCAAGCAAATCTCGCGATCAGCATCAGAGTGTATGCAACATTCTGGTTTACTACTCGCTATTTTTTAGAAGTCAATAAGGGAGAAGATTCTTAAATACATAAATCGCGTACTATAGTGCTAATAGAAAGTAATTTTCGCCCGTATAGATCAAGGAACAATTATATCGTCTACAGAACCTGAATGTAGAAGATCCAGACTTCAAGTCAACGTTCCAGAACCTATTCTCCAACCTCCAGCAACACGTTAAAGAAGAACATGATCTACCGAAACTTGAAGCCAAGCTCGACAAAGACTCGCTGTTGCAACTAGGGAAGTCTTTCGAACATACCAAGTTCTGATATTATAATTCTCGCCTGAAAGTATTAGAACAGGAGCAGTTGGTATCCCCCCCCCATCCTCCTTACATTATTCAACATTTTCTCTCCCTCTATATCCCTCCAACAAACCAACTTTTACTACCCGAGCCCTGCTACTCGTTGTTCCCGGGACAACTTCATAACGTTGGCTCTCTGTGGTAACGCTTTGAAGGTTAACCCATATTCGAGCATGGTTAATGTAGGTAACATGCACGCACCCTACCCACGCATATAACGACACAAGTACAAGACAGAAATACGAGTTATCCACAAAGCCCCCAGAGTCAGCAGAGGAGCTAGAAGCACTCTTGGATAACCAGACAGTAAAATTTGAACGAGGAGCCGATGGGCAGTTAAAGTTGCCAAAAAGCGAGATAAAATCCGGATGGACGCTTCCTTTAGATACTATAATCATCAATTCCAAGCCAGGAGTTGGTTTAGCTAGCCAGAACAGTTACGGGGGATAATGAGACTCCGGTAGGAAGACGGCGACTCGGATGATTATGGGAGTTGAACGATTTTAGAAAGTTAGAAAATATGAAGCTTCAATTTCTTACTTAGTGCTAACTTAGACCTCTTCAAGGACTCTCGTAACCCCTTGCCATTGGTAACAAATAAGGTATGAAAAATACATGTAGCATATTCCTACACACGGTCCATATACACGGCTTCACTATAGGGGCTCATCGATCGAGACAATCTACTTAGCAGTAGACAGAGCAAAAAGCAACTAATGTCATCACTAAGCTTAATAGTCGGCAAATTAATATTCGAGAATGAAACTCGCATAGGCAATCGGGAACTTCGGGTAATCATTGAAACTAATCTAAGACTGGTATTTATCTCATCAAGACGTGGTTATTTAGTAGCTGGCATACACATCCCTCACATCACGCAAGATTCCAACAACCCGCTAATCCCACCAATACCTCCAAAATGACAAACCACACAAGACCTATTGCAGGCCAAGACTGCGAAGTCGATCCGTAAGAATGCTAAGTTGCATCTGATTTTCGCCGTCTACTCCCTCCGCCTTCTGAAGCTTCTCCGCCGCGGCTATCAAGGGCTCCACAAACCGTTGCCCCACCGCTGCTCCCATGCCGGCCGGTACGAGCTCCTTGAAGCCGGTAAATAGGAAGTAGGCGAAGTTCGCAACTTGTAGGAGAAATAGGTTATTTTGAGCCCAAAACTCAACTAACGCGTCTGAGCTCGATTCATTCAAGGACAGCATATCAGGGAATAAGAAATATTGCAGTCGTTCAATGACGTCAGGGGAAGAGAACTGATTGGATCGCTTGTTTTGCCTGGCGGCGATGAGCTCTTCTTTTAGCCACGTGATCGCGCATGCCTTGAGGGACGCAAACATGCAGTTCTCTAATAGATCCTCGAGGATTTCTAACCGGTTATGGTCGTCGGGCTCGGAGTGAAGAAGAGTGCCTGCAAATGATGTGGCGGCGTTCCTGACTTGAATATCCGGATGAAATACTGAGATGAGCGTCAGATTATGGTGATAGGCCATTAAATTTGTATAATCTTCAGCTTTTACTAGTTTCCGATATTCGAGTCCGAGTCCGATAGCTAGTAAAGCATCGGCGATTCCCGGACTAGCAAGAATCTCCGACTGCATTTCCCTGCCAAGAAATCGCCCGAGTATCGAGGCATGGTCCGGGAATATGTGCATCTCGGGCCAAGGGCTATCTGAGCCGAAGACGTCTCTCGAGAATAACCAGTAGGCGATAAGACACACGGACCCACCCGGGGAGTAGTGTATATCGTCCGCTGAGGAGAAGTCGTTGAAAGCTGCAAGGGGATCTCTATGTACTGGACCTTCGGAAATGCTCTTTACGAACTGTTTTGAGCAATTACTTAGACCGAGATCACGTAGTAAGGCCTAAGCGATGTTAGCTCTAATAGAATATTGAGTGGGAGGTGGTAGATAAACTTACAACAAGTTGTCCTACTACTGCATCCCGCTTTTGCAGTTCCTCATTTTCCCTGAACGCCTCAACCGTCGTCTTCTTACCTGGGACATTCTTTTGCGGGTTGTATACCTCCAGAAGTCGAGGTGACCATAGCATGTCGTATGCATTTACATATCGCTGTAAGATACACGTGACAAAAGCCTGCAATAGCTTCTGCTGCATGGCCTCCTCTTGCGGATCCTCCTGCTCGGCCTCGGGATCTGGCGCATTCTTAGATTCATCCCCGTCTTGATCGGGATTGGCCACATTAATGCTAGATTTCCTAGAGGGTAGAGGTGGCCTTTTACGGCCCGAGAGCGAATAGACTAGATTTATTACGGAGGCAGTCATCTCCGGTGTGGGCTGATAGGCCTCGAACACCTTCACTAGCGATGGCCCCAGAAATCGAGAGGGGTACTTTGTCTTGATACGCTGGTGAAGAATCGCGAGCATGCCAAGTAGAGTGATGAATTTCCCCGGTATTTTGGAGTCCGGGATGACTCCGGGTTCCTCCACATCGACGACTACTTCGTCATTCCAGGCGACAGTAAGACCCTCTAGCGCCTCCATAACCTTGATGACGACTTCGCGGGGATTTCCCAAGCGGGCCACCGTCTCAAGACATGTTTCCGAGCCGTCGATGTTCAGTAGCATCTGTACTAGGTCCCAACCAATTTCTTGCGTGAGATCGGCATCTTGGAGGACTTCATTTAGGGCTGGTAAGATTTCTGGAGATGTAACATGGTATTGGAGGACGGTGAGATAAGTGAAGCGGTCTTCCTTAGACGCTTCTTGTATAGCCTTTATGGATTCCGACAGTTCAGACATGTTAATGTAATATTTGTAATATTTGGGAACATATATGATGTGTACCGTCTCGTCGGAGTGGGATGGGTGATTATGGATTATGGCAGGAGATAGACACGGTGGGTTAGAAACGAGGCTTTGTGGCTTGATGTTGAACAAACTAAATGTTGTGGACTCGGGCTGGCTGGAAGCTGTTAAGCCTTTTAGTTGTAATGCCAATGACGTGGGTGAGGGGACAGTGTAAACAGGTACAAAGCACAGTGTATACAGTCCCACAAAAAACAGTATCGTGCCAGCTTAGAAGTTGTTATGGTGGTTTATTAGTGCGTGTCCCTTGCAGTAGCGCCCGCATCTCGCAACTTCCAGATATATAGATACAGTGTGAAAGAGATGCAGCTATCAGTTCATGATCGTCTTTTATTAACTCCTACAAAGTAATTCCCAAGCAGATCAAGAACCTATCTATCTATCTTAATCATACCCCTTTTACTACACCCCTCCGATACATACTGTTAAATCTCACTCAACGAGATTCATAATATACGTAGTCGGTGAGCCATTTGATGATCACTTACATCTCACTCAAAATCACAATTTATCCAAGACATTCTTTGCCAGCAATCCAACGAGGATCGTGTTAATGGTATCGGTGCATCAATGCAAGTATACCTATACAAGGAAGTGTTCAAGGCCAATATGACACAAATTCTGGTCAGAAGCCCAACTAAGAATAACCGGTCTCATACGCCTGATGATTCATATTCCAGCGACCATTCGCAAATATTGAGATTCCCATTTCGAGCAAAACCATACGCTCGCAGGTTGTGAGGTCCTGACCTCATTATCTACCGGGCCGCAAAGACCCCGGCCGTCGAATTTTTCAAAATTTAAACTATTATGCTCTTAGAAATCATAAAAGAAGAGGCAGCAGTGCGCAGCTCCAGAGGAGGAGCGCCATGGCTCTAGTCGACGGAGCATCTGCTGTCGGCGTCGGCCAAGGTATTTGAGTCTGGCTTATTGCTGGTGTGGTTGTTGGTATCTCCCATGCGATGCTGTAAGATTCGTCGCTCGGTGATCCGGCCGCGGTTATCAATGTCGTGAGGGTGGGGGGTACCTCCGCTGTCTGTAGTATACTTATATCGGACAGAACGTGGACCGTGACAACCGGCTCGTCGAAGTCTACAGAGTCTGAAGATGAGGATGTGCGTGCGGGTGGTGTAACAATGCTCCTCGATAGGGAGGTAGTAAAAGTAGGAATGAATTCCTTTGTTGTCGACTCCGGTTCCGGCTCCGGCGGATTGATTACTTCCTTAGCGTTGGCCCACGTATCGACCAGACACTCAGACATCAACTGGTTATCGACTAGACGTCCATCTTTCTTCGATGGCGTCAAGCTTAGAACATCAGAGGTCTCGATATTGCCGGCGCCCCAACCGACTATGCCGACGAAGACGTCCGAGTTGTCGTTGATAAGTGTGTTTTGCGCACAGAACATCTTAAGACACTGGCCAACTTATTAGAAACATGCAACAGCTAACATAGATGACGGAATGAGAAGCAATGTTGCTAAGACTTACAGAGGAATCTTGGGACGCTCCCGTCTGGCTGACGAGACCCTTCCTCCCCTTTTCCCTTAGGTACTTCGCAAGGTCTGCGAAGGCATCGGTGTTATCCGTTGAACACTGCTTGTTCGTCCCTGAGCCATCCTTATCCAAATACGCATGGATATCCAAGAGCAGATTATCTGTTGATCCGTCAGGGTTCGTGATATCTAGCAATTGCTCCGCACCGCCGTCCTTGGTCAGTGTCGCCACGCCATCGGAGTTTGACCCAGGAAGCAGTATCATCTGCTTCGTCGCGCCCGCTTTTCTGATAGCCGTAACAACTTCCTGGCAAGTCTTCGCCCACGTATCGACATCGATGTCGTGCGGCTCGTTCATGAGCTCGAAGATAACCTTATCCTCGTCAGAGTACTTCTTCGCCAACTGTTCCCAGAGATTGGCGAATTGGTCATCCGTCGGTCCACCCTGTCCGATGATCTTGCCGTTCCATCGAGCATAGTTGTGGATATCGATCATACAGTATGCGCCGGTAGCGAGACAGGCCTGCATCAATCGGTCGTATTTATCAAAGTTGTTGCTATCGAGCGTCCCCCCTAAATTGTCTTTGACGAGAAACTGCCATGATGTTGCTGAGTAGGCTCGTTAGTCTTATTCAAGTTAACATATCTTGAATGGTGGTCATACGCATTCTCAGTATGTTGATGGCGTCATCTCCGACAAAGTGCCACATCTGAGTAACTCCATCGTCCGGAAGCTTTGCAGAGTCTAAAGGACATGTTCCCTTTCATCATGTTAACCTGGCGCTTCAATCATAGCTTCGATTATACTTACATCGTTCTTGCATCCGAATTCGCCTCCCGCTATCGAAACTCCCTTGAGATATCAATGTTAGCGTTTGAGTGTCTTAGAAGCTATAAGTGGCAACGTACTAGAAATTGAACTTTTGCAAGGACAACACGCGCCGCAGCCAACAAGAAAATCGACTTCTTAAAGTACATTTCTTAATAAAAGCTTCTTACGAATTGAACATAAGGAGAGTCAAAAGGCGAAGAACGAGAATGAAAGGAATGAAGGCCCCGCCGTCGAACGAATGCAACGTGAGATTGCAGCAAGAATGAAAATGTAGAAGAAAACAGATGACAGCTGAGAGAGTAAGGCTAAAGGAAACGAATCAAGGAAACAGATGCAGACGACAATCCCATCTTCTCGGCGAAGGATGTCCTGCATCACTGGGCATCAGTCATATAAAGGGAAGAATCAATCCATCAGGTCGCGTAATCGGGTTAGAGTGAGCCCATGATCGGTCACTTTCGCGGGTGGGATTTCAGGAGGTTTAAACCTGCGGCGTTTCGCATATAGAGTAGACCTACTAAACCTCCAAAATTACCTGACCGAATAGGTTAACCTATCAAGGTATGTTGATTCCATATATCTATCTACGGCATAGCCTCCACGCCTTTTTTTTCTTTTTTGGTTGCGAGCCGTCGTGTTACCAACGAAAGCCACATAACAAGTCTTATGGTTCCTTAAGAGTTGCAGTTTAAACGGTATTACAAACTAGTGACGATATTATTTTATTTTTCATAATATTTCTCATCTCCCCGACTCTTTACTTGGACGCTCAAATATGGACAAGTTTACAAAAATAGGATAGGAACATATACGTACCTTGGTTAGCTTATTACGAGGCGGTTCACTTTGAGACCTTGAAACATTGAAACATTGAAACATGCTAAAAATTGCCAGCTTCCCAAGATATCCAACTGCGCCGCCCGGCTGCAGAAGACCCGATCAAGTAATGCAATCAAGTAATGCCCAGAGATCCGACGTTTTCCATCATCCCATTCATGCCCCTATTAGCCATCAAACCGCTAATTAATACATACATTCATAACTACACGCATACATAGTAGTTATTTGGAAAAGGAAAGAAAAAGGAGAAAAGCGTTAAGAATAAAACATATGCCATGTGTTTTCTATCCGAACGTCTAGTTCTAGTAGTACAACCAGGTCATGTTGGCAAAAGTCTAGTAATAACATGCAAACCAATCAAGAAAACTAAAAGCTAAGAATAAACCTATAAAAAAGAAACCCATCAATCCTCCCACTCCTCGTCGTATTGGTCGATCAACCGGTTTTCGTCCTCGCGGTTACTTCGACCTCTTCCGGATGGTGATCCCGATACGTAGCGGTACCCTCTCCGATTCGGGAGGAGCCGAGCGCAAGAGGAGGTGGCCATGACGAAGAAATCCTACGTTTAGCAGTAGCAGTTAGCTTCAAGTTCTGTTTTATGTCTTCCTGTCGTGATCGTGATCGTAGAATGGAACAAGCACTTACGCATATGAAACTCCAGACGCTGGCCCAGAGCGAGTAGTTAGGCAGTTGTTTCCAGCCTCGGGCGTGGGCTACCGTGCGCTGGTAGAATATACCGCCGAGTAGGTAGACTAGGACGGCGATGGCGAAAATAATTAGGAACACGGAGCCTGGCCCCACGCTTCCCGGCTTGTGCGGTTCCACGCCTGCGCATGCGTGCTGTGACTTGACTTTGAATACGTATGAGCATTCTTCCGGGTCTGTCGCGATGAAGGAGACTTGAGCTGCGCCCGCGCCAGCGTCCCTGTCACAACTAAAGAATATGGTGGTTGACTTCCTCCGCTTCGGCTCGTCCGTCTCTTTAGATGATTTCCGAGTGTTGGTCGCGACGGCTGTCTTCGTAGGCGACGGCGTATCTTCTTCGCGCTCGAAATCAGATCCCTTATGGGCCGCGCCTTCGTGGACAGAAGAACTCCTACTTTCGATATCCGCTTCCCTCTTCACGCTCTTCCCGCATGGCGATCCTCCCGTGTATTGTAGAACTAGCTCCTTGCCTCTCGATATCAGAGCGCCGGACTGTAGACCCAGACTATATATGTCGCCCTTGGAGGTATAGTACGCGCTGACATTCTTCCACTGACTCGGCTCTACGCCGATCACTTCGTCAACAGGCTCTACCACGGCAGCGCAGATGTTCAAGGTGAAGTTGAACCCGTAATCGTAGCCCTTGGCGTGGTAGTCCACTAGCGGGGCTCCGTTACTATGCGCGGGCTTAGACCCATCGGGATTCTTCTTGAGGGCTATGTCGGGCCGCAAGTCGAAGAAGGCGCCTGACGTTGATGACGCGGTGCACGCTGTTGAAGTTGTCGTCTTGTCGGCATCGGCGGCAAGTGAGGTAGAAGTGAGGCAGAGGAGGGAGAGTAATGTCGGACATATATATGTCGAGCCTGAAGAGAAGCGCATGGTTGCGAGATAGGCTATGGCTAAAGAGGTATGGAGCACGGGTGGTTTTCTTTTCGGTCGAGGAAATGCGCTGGATGCGCTACGGAGATGTCGAAAATAGCCTAGTCATAAACTATTATATATCGAAGCCTCTAATATAACAATAGTGGTTTCGATGAGGTGATGATTCAATCGTTCGTTTATTCATGAAGTTCGTGTCTTTTCTCTTACAAAGTTGTTCCAAACATTCAAAGATTCAATAAGCCAAGTTGTCGATTTGCCGTCTAAGCCGCTATTACCTAGGTATTCTTAGCGCACTTCGACATCCACGGACCCCTGAATAGAAGATCCTAGAGATTGGTACGTACTTCGTCTGTATGTACACGTTTTAGCTGCCGCTACTGGAGATACTCTTTCATTATTGGTCATTTGATAGTGGAACCTTAGTATTCTGCTCACCTTGATTGGCTGAAATGCCATTGAAACGAGCCAACCTTAAAATTACATAACTAGGTCCGATGTACCTAAGATTACTTAAGATTTACTGGCCGACGTCTCCACATGAGCTTGGGGAAGTCGAGGTAGTAATGAAGTCAAAAATGGTGTCACTCGGAAGCCAAGATTTCCGGTAAGCTCTCCTATCTACAAAACTTCCACCTCTATCGTACCATGCGGGACGTTGGGAGCCGGTCACTTTTCACAATTTCGCACCGCCTCGAATAGACGCGTATTAAAGATCGAGACGGGTAGAAGAGGGCCAGGCAGAAAGTTATTGGATTATAAAGAGCTTTCAGGCGCTCCTCGGAGAATAACAACACTAACGAGTTCTCTCTTCCCAAACAATACTCTACCCTTTGGATCGCGACACAACTTTAAACATGTCGCCCAAGTCAAAGCAACCTCAGCCAGCGCATAGCTCGCATGGTTATGAGTTCGGCGGTCCGTAAGTGTTTATTCTAAAGACCCAATTTGAAGTTGGTAGAGCTAATGGTATATAACCGTTTAGATTCGGTACCGCTGCCATTACGTTCGGTCTTCCCATTCTCTGCTACATCTTCGCCTTTGGATGTAACGATATTTCCGGTTGTCCCGCGCCATCGCTATTAAGTCCAAAAACATTGTCCATCGAGAAATTGAAGGCCGAGGTAGGATGGCCCGAGGACGGTATCTTAGGTCTGGCTAGCTGGAAAGCTACCGGCTGGACTCTAGCATACTACTTCTTCAGCGCTCTTCTATACCGTATTCTCCCCGCTACCGAAGTTGAGGGTACGGAATTGTCGTCCGGAGGCAGGCTAAAGTATAGGTTCAACGGTGAGTATATTCTAGCTCGGAAGATCTTCACGGGATAGAGCTTAGCTAACGCAGTCTGTTAAAGCTTTCTCCTCGTACATGTTCACCCTCTCTCTCTGCCTTGCCGGTACTATTGCGCAGGGAGCCGAGTTTCCCGTATGGACCTTCATTGCCGACAACTACGTACAGATTCTGACTGCCAACATCCTCATTGCTTACGCACTTGCAACGTTTGTCTATGTCCGTAGCTTTTCTGTGAAGCCAGGTAACCCTCAGTTTCGACAGCTCGCCGAGGGTGGCTGCTCTGGGAACCTGATCTACGATTTCTATATGGGACGGGAGCTCAACCCTCGTGTTACCCTTCCAATCATCGGCGAGATTGATATCAAGGAGTGGATGGAGCTACGCCCCGGCATGCTTGGCTGGATCCTTTTAAACTGTGCTTTCATCTCCAAGCAGTACCGCACCTTCGGCTACGTGACTGACAGCATTGTATTCGTCGCCATCGTACAGACTGTCTACTGTTTGGATGCAGTGTACATGGAACCCGCTATTCTTACGACCATCGATATTACCAACGACGGTTTCGGCTTCATGCTGTCCTTCGGAGATCTCGTCTGGGTCCCCTTCATTTATAGCCAGCAAACACGATACCTATCTACACACCCAGTGACCCTCGGCTGGCTAGGTATTACAGGGGTTTCCATTCTCCTAATTGCAGGTTTCGGTATCTTCCGGTTAAGCAACCTCCAGAAGAACATCTTCCGCACGAACCCTAGCGACCCGCGTGTTGCTCATATCAAGTATATCGAGACCAAGACGGGTTCACGATTGATGACATCAGGCTGGTGGGGTGTCGCAAGACACATCAATTATTTCGGTGATTGGCTGCAGTCGTGGCCGTATGCATTGCCCACTGGTTTTGCCGGATACGTTATCCTGCCAGCTGGCAGCAATGTTGAAGGTGCTATCAAGACACTCGACGGGAGGGAAATAGTACAAGGCCCAGCCAAGTACTGGGGTATGCTTTTCACTTACTTCTACGTTGTTTACTTTGCCGTCCTTCTAATTCATCGCGACGGCCGAGACGACGAGAAGTGTGCGAAGAAGTACGGAGAGGACTGGGAGAAGTACAAGAGCATTGTGAAGTACAAGATTGTACCAGGTATCTACTAGGTCTATCTAAGTACCTTATTAAGAAGAAGATGCGACTGTAAGATGGATAGTGCAGATACAGTGACAGGGTTATAGGACCTAGGGGGTAGTTGAAAATGAAAAGGGGGGGTAATAGGGGAAAATATGTAATGTATATTCTCAACTTAGGTCCTACCTTGATTGACTACGCAGGTACATCATGTAGGTAGGTAATGTTGGAATAAATCATATTAGGTACCTGAAACCGCAGTATCCGGGCACTGGGTACCTACATGTATGTATCTCCCATGGCCCAAGTTGTGGATCACTTAGGAAACAACGATGTTGATGCCTTCCACCTCAACTCTCTTCAAATATATCAAGGAAGTAACGACGACTTCCGCCTGCCGTCATTATGAATTAACCAGTAGCCAATAGTCAGCAGTGATGACTTAACTTTTTGGTTTTAAAACCTAACAACTTTTTTCTTCTCGTCGGTCACTGATCCTTTTCAACCACCCAACAACCGTGTTGACGCCGCCAATAGTAAAAGTTGCCCACCTACGTATCTACGCAGAATACACATACGTTTTCTCGATATTTCTCGGGTGTCAGCTATTGTTAAAGAATTGGTCTTGAACCTATTTAACGAATAGTCAACAAGTACCAATCACTCAAATCAGTCGAGTTATCATGGCGAACGCAAACCATAAGCGTGCTCGTCCCTTCACGGCCGACCCCTACGACGAGCCACCCAAGAGACCAAGACCTGCATCCCCTCTCTTTACATACCATGGGCCTCCTCCCAACGACGTCTTTACTAGACCTCCCCTCAGCAGAGATGGACCTTATCACGGCTTCTATCCTGACCACTTTAGCCCGCAGTCGTCCGGGCCCTGGGGTCCAACTAACACAACTTCTGCACAGCCTTTCGACTATTCCGAATGTCTGCCCAATCCTCGACGACAGCACTCCAGGGAGAGAGACCATGATTTCCGTCCGCCTATGGCCTCCCATACCGGTCACCGACTTAGATCAAGCACAATGCCTTCAAGACCCAGGGAACCTATGTCTAATTTCCAAGACTCTTTTCAACCCCAGAATTCCCAACGAGGCCCGGACACTCTCGATGCTCGTGTTGCGGAACTCGAAGCGATTGTCAGATCACTGAATAGATCATATAATGATTTCAAGTTGCCTAGAGCTACTGTAATTCGCGACTTGCGTCGAGATATAGATAATCTATCAATGCTCGAAGGTCAAACCAATGAGTTGGAGGCACGTGTGCACGACATGTCGCGTGCTCTCCATGATCTGCAGGCTTCAACCGAAGCAGACAACGTTAATGACAAATCTACCGAACCCAAAATCCGCCAAGACGCAGCAACCCAAGCACGATCACAGATGCCAGAGCCGGGTATAGCAATTGACGACGGCGGCGATGATAGTGGTGATGATGTTATCTTCCTAGGAGAACGGCCCCTTCAAGATAGTGCTTTTGATATTCACGATAACGATAGCAATCGTGAGAATTACCAGCCGGAGGCCGTTACCCGTGACAATTTCGTGGCTTATCTTAAGAGCCTCGACTTTCGCGCACCGTATGGGATGGAAGTGTTTGTCAGCACGCCAGTTACGGCGAGAGACTATTGTCTATGTACGCTGAACGACGGCACGGTATACTTTGTACGTCTAGGAACCAGCGAGAAAGGATGGTGGAACATTGAGTATGAGCCTTATGAGCGAGCGCCCCTAATGCTGCAACGATATAAACGCGGACACCTCGATGGCGACCAACACTTAGATGCGAGGCGATTACCTTCACTGTTGCACTATCGCAGCAACGTCTGTGAAGTCGAGTACCCTGTTCCGAATTTTATATTCGCTCCTCCGCTCCGTTATGCATTACCTCTAGGAGAGATCCACGTATACCAACCGCGAGTCGACAAGGCACCACCTGACCTTATTGGTACAAATTTCTTCTTGCTTATGGATGTCACCAACTCCAAGAAGTCACTATGGATCGTATATGCATACGAATATCCCTTCAATAAAAGCAATGTCCCTAATCACTCTAAGGGTTACCAGCATGAGGAGGGTACAATCGAAACAGGAAAGTATGAATTGAACCGAAATTCGCCTCTCTGTGCGGATTTTGGCCTTTTCGATGTGGCATGCATAGCAAATAGCCTGGATGACTTTGTCGACTTAACCAAGGGAGGTATGCCAAACCTTCGTGGATACCAGCAGACTGTATGCCCTCAACTCGATCCCGTTAAAGTCCACCAGACGCTCCGCTCGACTGCGTGCATTGCACAGCCTGTATTTACAGAACCGAACCTAGACAGCCTAACTCGAGCAATCAATCAGGGGTGGAAGAAATAGGAGCCTTTATCCAACATCTCCCGAGATACCGACAGTTTTACCTAATTTGTTTTGCACGATACCGATCCGAGGGTCTTGATTATCCATCTTCATGCTAGCAATAGAATCGCGAGGTGTGAGGAGTTTGATGAACGAAGAAAAAGGAAGGAGGCCTAAGGAAATGGGATTACATCTACATTGATGCCATCCTAGGCAAATTTACCACAGGATACGGTCCGAGTGTTGGATGAACTTGACAGGTTGTTGGAACGGCGCCACTATGCATATCCTGTAAGTTATACTTCGGCTTAGCTACTATTTTGCCCTTAGATAACTGTTCAAGTTAATCTGCTTGCAAGGGCTTGTTAAGTAGAGCTGCCTTGTTAATGAACGCGTTGTTTCTTGAGCACTTTATGAAATATTCTCTACGTGAACTCGATCGAGCACGGCTTGCTTTACCTACCTACCTAGGTACCTAGGTACCTAATAAACATAAGCTTCCGCGGCGATGTTCACGTCTATTTGCTAAATCTATCAAAATACCCACGAGACGTAATCAATCCGGCAAGAGGCCAGTGTAGTAATTGTAACCAGGTAATTTCTCACTGCTACGCTTAGGCTCCGCTCGAGTGTTGTCGCTCAATGATAACCATCGGTATAGTACTCTATGGGTTTAATTACCGGCATAGTGAATTTAACAGGGTCACGTTGAGGACGGCAGGGAAACAAGAGACATAGGGTTACTTACTCTTAGGTGCCTAACCTAAGGCAAAGTGATATTCAACTCTGCCAACTATCCCCCTTTACACCTTATATGTAAACCTACCGAAAAGGGAGCTTTTACCATATGCAGCAATGCTATTATTACCCAGGCATGAGGCGAGACAAATGAATAGGAGGAGATAGGTCCTGGGATATTCCATTTTGAAAACTGAATCTTAAGTCAAGTAAACAAGGAAAACTCTGAATTGTCATCCTCATGTCCAAACATATAGGATGAGCTATCTAAGGATTTTTACACCAAGTAGAAGAACTGACAAAGATTAACCGCGCCGACGCAACGAAGACAGACGCCTAAACCAAATCCCCAAACAGACTTAAATATACACGACGTAGACTTGGCCTCCTTTAGACCATCCATACCCCGTCGTCAAATCCTACAGTTCCTCTTTGTCTCGTTTCGTTCCGCATTGACACGTATCATCACCTCGTTTACTGTAAGTACTTTAGAATCTCCTCCCGCTCCTCGACAGGCATCACATGCAGCATATCCTTCAAACCCTTAAGAGCTGAGGTCTTATCTGATCTAAGCAAATCGGCTAATCCGTGCGCAACGGCATCCGACTTGATTTGCTCGACCTTGGTCTCAATTGTCTCAGCGTTCTCCTCGTACCATGTCACTACATCCTTGTCGTTGTGGTCGAAATCGGGGACCCCAGACCAAGCTGCGAGCAGGCGAAGGTTGTGCTGACGGCTCTCAGTGGCAGCAGCGCTGTTCGAGTCAATAACCTTCGGAGATGAGGCAGTAGCCATGCGCTTGAGGATGTGTTCCTCGTTGAGACGTCTACGGACACGCCAGTAGAAGAAGCGGCGAGTATTCTTCCACTCTAAGACCTCGCGAATAGTACCCTTGGCCTTCATGCGGCCAGCGCGGTCGTGCAAGTCTGCAAACTGCAGGCCGATCTGCGCATAGATGGGTAGTAGTTGCTTCTCGCGCTCTGTCATCCTTTCTTTAAGCTCCGCATGCTCCTCCTTGGACAAGGTGCTGTCAGCAATTTGCTTCTTCAGCGAGGCGTAGAGGGGGTCCAAGCGAGACATGGTCTCTAGCTGCTTTTCTTTCTTGTACTTAATACCAATGATACCTTCGGGCTCTAGGACACCGGCACGGGATTCGACATCAGCATACATCTCCATGGCGACAGGGTTAATGGTAGGGTCGACCACAACCCAGGAGCCACCACGCAACTCGCCAAAGGGCGGGATATAAACGAAGATAGGTTGCTCAAACTTGACGAGAGCGTCGACAATGTACGAACCATATTTCAAAACTTCGTTGTACATGTCTCGCTGACCACCGGAGAAACCTCGCCAGTTGGCAAGGATCATAAGAGGAAGCTGTTCGCCGTAGTTGAAGTCGTTGATGGCCTGGGCGGTCTTGAATGCAGAGTTCGGGTACCAAACACCGCCAGCTTCATTGCTGACTTGCTCAACGGAGTCGGGGTTCGCAGGATCAGCGGGGGTAACATTTTCAACGGTTCGAGTCTCCACCGCAATAACACCCATCGGAATACCGCCAAGACGAGCACGGCCAACAACAACGGTGCGGGCCCAACCACCAAGAGTCTCAACGAAGGAGTCCTTGTCAAAGAGACCTGGCTGGAATCCGTCCTCGTCTTGCTTACCGCCAATGAGCCATCTAACATCGTGCGGCTGCTTGTTAGGCGGGGTGTATATCACCTCACGATCCCAGGTGTCGAGGCTAGGCGTAATCGGTACAGGTAAATTGCGCCGAGCAGGAACGAAAGAAAGCCACTCGACAATCTTGCACACGCCGGCAAAGTCATCATTAGCAGTTAAGTGAGACACACCATTTCGGTACATGATCTGGGTACCACCAAGCTGTAGGTTAGAGGTGTAAACTTCGCGGCCAAGCAAGTTGTTAAGGGCCTGAGCACCAGTTAGAATAATGGGCTGACCCTCAATCTGAACGGCACGCTGGCCGAGGCGGACGAGGTATGCGCCAATACCTATAGAAAATTAGCAATTAATCTCAATAAACTAGAGAAACGGTTGAGCTTACCGATAGACCGGCATGTGATGAGGGTAACTGTGAAGATGTCGTTGTATGCACGACTTGTGGCACCAGCAATAAGACCAGAGCCCCTCAAGCACTCAACACCAAGTCCGTCCTCGGCACCCACGATGGCCACAATCTTGTGGCGCTTCTCGCCCATTTCAGTGATCTCCTCGGTGATGACGTCGCGCTTAGCACCGTCTTCAAACCGCTTCTTAGCATCCGCATCTAGGTAGAGGTACTTGAAGCCCGACTCTTGCCTCTCCGGATCTTTCCAAGCTACTTTGAAGTGCGGGATAAGCTCCTCAGCAAGGCCAAGTCGCGCACCGGAGTTGGCAGAGAGATAGATTCGCGGAATGCCGAGGCTGCGAGCCAATTCCGTGCACTTGTTAAAGAAATGATCTTCTTTAGGGCCAAAAGATCCAATCTTATAAGTGATATCGTTGGCGACGACAATGAACTTCCGGCCCTCAGGGTACTCGGGAGTACGAGCATTAATGAGCCATCCAACCATACCGCACGAATTAGTGCCAGGCTCACGAGAAATCTCAATCAGCCTATCACGGTCGTCGAGTACGAGCTCGCTGTAATCAATGCACTCTCCCTGGGCAGGCTTTTTGTCATTCAATGACGGTAGCGCTTTGGTAGTCCTCGACCAAGTGTTCTCAACAGCTTGGCGGAAAAGCTCGGGGAAGTCATATACATACTGGGTACCCATCAAATGCGCCCTGTAACGCTTAGGCTGGAGCCAGTTCTTGGTAGGGTATGGCGTGCAGACAGGCAGCAAGTGCATCGATCCAATCCTGGTTGTGCCGCCGATTGAATAGAAGACCATTTCACCCTTCTCCGACTTCCGCTCCGCGTAGAGCTCAATCTGGATAATATATCCAGAAGTGTTGGTGATGATAACACGCAGAGGATAAGGCATTCCCGTAGTCGTATCCGTGCAGATAATACGAATCTCAACCTGAGAGACGCGAAGACGCCAAGCGCGAGGGCCAAACCGGTCCAAGAAACCCTGAAGAGACTGCTCGACCTCCTCAGGCTTGAGCTGGAAAACAGGAGTAAAGTTCAGGAACATGTGGTTCAAGTCGGAGTTGTTGTTGCCGATGATCTCAAGGGCATCGAAAATGTCATTGATAACTCGGTCGGCTTCAGAAACAAGATACTCGGCTGTGGGTATATCATCCCGAAGGCGGCCTGGTCGAATAACAGCGCGGGTGAAGTATCGCTTATCAGTGTCAACTCCCTTACCTATACCTTCGTACACATGGATATTCTTGTTCTCTGTGAAGACAGGAGAAAGCTTGAATTTGGCTAGTCGAGCAAGCTCCAACTGGAAGGCTAGAGCTGGCTCAACATGACGGATACTGTTGTCTTCACGGAACTCGGGTGCACGGAAAGTGTAGTAACCTGGGTACGAGCCATCGTTGTGGCCGCAAACAAAGGTAACACGACGAACTCGGTGGTTGACAAGCTCATTCTTCAATGAGTCGATTATAGGGTGGATACGTTCGAGAATTTCTTCGTCTTCGTAGGACTCTACGTCGCGGATTACAACGTTGACAACGTTGGTCAGTTCCTCTTCGAGGGGCTTTTGCGCAAAGGATTTACGCTTGCCCGTGAGGTCGGGGATAAGCCCAGGGCGCTTCCTGGTTGGCAAAACCTCCAAAGCCTTCTGGAGCATCTCATCGGCATCATCGAGATAGCGACAAGGAACGACAACTCCCTTGCGGGTAGGCTCTTCCTCGGTACGACGGTTGAGATACGACATGTCACTAACTGAGCTTATTCGGCCGAATGTACCAGTCTCAGAGGTCGGAGTGCCAGGGATAGATGGATTAGCCGACTGAAGAGGAACCGAGAACTCAGTCTGTCCAATTTTACGGAAAGAGAAGTCCCAAGACAAGAAGAGAGGAGCCGAATCAGACTCGTCCTCGTGGTACTCCAATTTCAGCAAGTTGTACGCACGGTAGGCTCGGCGGACGTACACCTCGAGAGCAGCAACATTAACCCACGGGTCCTCGTGAGCAAAGAATGACGCCAGCACGTCAAAAACAGTGTACTTAGAATCCACAACTTCCTTGATAATATCAAGGTTAGGCTCTCTGTGGTCCCAGCCAGTTTCACCATACTTGTTTTCAACTACCGACGAGCGGAGGATGTGTTCCATCTGTGCAGTTCGTTCTTCGAGAGATGGTAGTGCACACTGAATGAGAATTTCTCGAGCCTTCAGAGATACTTTAGCTGTCTGGCGCGACTCGAGTTCGGTAAGCCTGCGCAGAACTGGTCGTAGGTACTTGCCGACGTTGCCGACATTGGGCTTGTTAGGACGGTACTCCTCAAGAATTGCTAAGACTAAATGATTCTTAGAGCCGACACGGCTGTGAGATAGGACGATGCTGATGAC